CCCCAAAACCCCAAAACCCCAAAACCCCAAAACCCCAAAACCCCAAAACCCCGCTGTATGAAGAAAGTATTGAAGGAACCTTAGTAAATTATTAAAAATGTTCTTCAAGTGCCTAAAAGATGGCTGAAACCGCACGTTCTCTGAAAAGAAAGAACGAAACGATCATTTCCGTGAGCATGAAAAAGGCTCAAGACCTTTCCAGTGGTACCCCTATCTTTGCTAACGCTTTACAGCAGCAAATGAGGTCAATGCTTCACTCAAATAAGTTCTTTGCAAAAACATGGAAGAGTGCATGACAAGAGGAAACCTTATTTGTGCAAGTACGACAATTGAGGCATGGCCTTTACACAGGTATACTTTTTAACTAATAAATTTTCTTATCAGGAAGTTATCTGATGGCTAGGGCTTCTCTAAAAGAAGCCACTCATCTTTCACTAATGAAGTTTTCGTTTAGGCTTCCAATCTAATCAGACATGAAAGAATACATACAGGTGTTAAGCCTTACAAGTGTGATAGATGTGACAAGTCCTTTGCTTCTTCAAGCAATCTGAAGCAACATAAGGAGATACATCAGAGCGAAGTAGGTTCTATTTAAAAATGGTTCAGGAGTATATTAGTTAATTTTTACCAATCTCCCAAATTAAGGTGACGAGTACTTTTAGGAATTCATAGAAGTATTTTCTGTGCTCCCTCCTGATGGGTTGTTTGATAAGCCTTGTCTCCTCTGATACAACTTTTGTAGAAGAAATTTATGCTTTTTGAACCTTGGTATACCCAGTAATCAAAATTTGGCTAGGGAAGATTGAGTTTTAGTTAACTCAATGATACACCTATTATAAAAACAGTGTCCAACTTTTATGAATATTACTGGGCATAATCGGAAATCAGCCGGCTGGTCTCGTCAGCAGTAATTCTTTCAAATACTATATTTGAGTCTCTTATTTATCATAATTTAGAGTAATAGGCAGAGATTTGTGTGTCCCATTGAGACTTGTGGGAAGATATACCTTTACTTCAGCTCTCTGAAGAAGCATCTGTCTAAGAATCATAATGAGTATTATCGCTCAACCTTTAATCAGACAACTAAGACCGAAATCCAGTTTTTGAAGAAGATGACCACTCAGAATGTTGGAGGTGCAGAATCTGATAAGGACTCACTGGAGTCTGAAAGAAATCTTCAAAATTTACCTCCACCAAGGAGTAAGTTGAAACAGTAGCTTAGTCCTTTCACCAACGAAATTTGCATATTATTAAAAATTTGCTAAGAGAAGCATGTTGAAATTCCTTGATTTCTAATGCCATGTAGAAAACGCCCTGCGCAAGAGGAAGGCCAAATAACGAAGCTCTTAAAAAATTGCAACAAAAGAGCGACAATAGCGAGTCCAGCAGCTTTGACTCAAATGAAGAAGATAAACAACCCCTTATCGTAGGTTCTTTGTCTGATTGGTCTAGGAATCTGAACATGGATATGATAGCCAAAAGTCTACTAAAAGATTCAAGATTACTGAGGAAAAAGAAATGTCATTAGAATCTCAGAAAAGCAACAAGGAGAACATAATCAACTCTGCAGACATCAAGGAAAGGATTGATAGACTCCAGATGTCTAATCCAAGCCTCAGGAAGAACTTCAGTAAACTTGAAAGAAATATGCAAAAACTGTCTTCTCCCTCTGAAAATAAGGAGACTCGAACTCAAAAACAAGAAATACCAGCTGTTATTCAGCATCCACAGTGTACAGATCAAATTATGGGTGAAGATGATTTCTCCCGCCTTCCTACAAATGAGTCTCTCAGAAATGCTGTTCAAGACCAAAGCAAGAGAGATGAGAATCTCCAAAAGTCGCTACTTCAGTATATTCTCCTAGATTTGATGGCTAATCAAACACCTCAAAATATTAATCTCACTGACGTTTCTCCTCAGATAGAGATGATGCTTAAAAGTCATATTCTCAAGAATTTATGGATAAATGCATTCAAGAGATTCCTGTATGTCTCAAAGGACGCTCTTAGAGATAATCTGTGCAATTTACTGACAAATCCAGGTACTCCTAGATCTGGTATACCAACACTTCCTGCTAGCCAGCTTGAGAAGAGAAAGAAATCTGACTTACTCTCCAACGGTACTAAAGAGTCGGATAAAAACCGCAAGAATTCTGCCTCATTCCCTATTAAATCAGCGAATGACTGCCTAATGAGCGGAGGTATTTATTCTTCGCCCAAGAAAGATGTCAATAATGATGATCAGAGAAGTAGTTATTCTCAAAACCATGAAGTTTCCGGCAGTTGGAATCCAAAAGAGGAGGAAAAGCACTAAGAATGCTACTATTTCCTCCTATGGCACGCCTCACTAGCGATTTAGTATAATTTCATTATGCTAACATGTCTTTTCTACCATTAGGCCTCCTGAAGGTGGATCTGATATGTGTCTAAGTCTTATGCCATATTGATTTTCTGCAATTGCAGTCAAAATCTTTTTCATATGAATCTTACTCTCATTTTATTTCTATTGATTTAAATTCATTACTAAGCATAGCTTGAGGGGTTTTGGGGTTTTGGGGTTTTGGGGTTTTGGGG